AGCTTAGTGTTAGTTTTTTTAATATTATAAAAAAAAGAAACTAACAAATTTCTTTAATAGAAACTTACCTCTAATCAAAGATTTTAAGGTTTATAGATTCTGAATCGGTAAGTAAATATAAGCTTTTTTTAAAAAATTAAAAAAAAATATTAACAAAAATTCTGTTAGAGCTTACCTCTGTCAATGTTTTCAGGATCCGGATTAGTCTATAAAGGTAAAATAATTGATGATAACAAAAGCAATAAAAAAAGTAGATTATCTGATAATGGTATTTATTTTACTTGCGTTTGCTTAAATTATTTATTTCTGATATATTAGAACTATGCGGAATCTATACAGTCCTATTAGAACGTGTCTATACTTAAAAAAAATACGAAAAAATATAGTTACTCCTAGAATATTAGATATAATTAAAGACTATTCTGTATTTATTAGATTATGTAACAAACGAATTGAAAATAGATATTAATACGAATATTATGAATATTAATGAATCTAATGAAGGTGATTTATGTGATTATGTAAATGTTCATATTAATTATATTTTATAAACTAATTTGTATATTTATATATTTTAGAATATTTAACAAGGGAAATGGATCTAGATATTAATACTTCTGAATTTAAGTCTATGGGCTGTAAAACTTTGCATCAAAAATTTTCCTGATGTGACCTAAATTATTTTAACCTATATGTTTCATATAAACCAAAATGGTAAAGCATTAATATGGAATTTAAGTCAAAGGTTAAGAGTTCGATTGATGATTCTTACATAATCCTTCCTTACTTCATATCATTTAGTCAATTAGTCATTGATTCTGCAAATATTTAATAGAATGTTGCACAGTAACATTGGTTTTGTTAAATGTCGTGTGTTTCGATCACAACTATTCTTGGATATCGATCAGGTATATACACACGTATAAAATATGCTGATACAGACAATGTTTAATTTTGTAAAAATAAATTGTGACCAATTCGAATAAAAACCATTTACATTTATCAAAGTTTGCCTTTTTACGTATTATTTGTTTCGTAAAACGATCAAAATCGAACGATAGTTGACGATTCCGGCTATCATTATAAAGTTTCTCTGCCTTAAAACAATTCCTCACCTCCAAATAAATTTTTGCAAAATGTCCTGCAAAGTCTTATTCTAATTTGAGTTAAATTTATATTGAATTATTGGACAATGGTGAATAACTTTGGAAGTTGATGAAGATCCAATGTAAAAATATTCCGTGCTCATAATTTGCGTCGAACTTTAATTTCAATTAAAAAAAAGGTAATGAGAATGATTTGGCTCATTTGAAATTGCCAAAAATTTCCACAAGAAAATTATTTTACAAGTATTTATCGATACATATAATTTAAATATTTAAATTCGTAATATAGATATATTTATTCTTTATTTAATGAACGAGACGTTTCAGACATTCTTAAATTCTTGTTAGCTGCTGATAAACTATTTCTTCAAGAACTAGTCGATTACTTACCAAATTATTTAATTGAAAATAAATCCGAATGGATGATATAAAATTTTGAACGTATTCACCCAAGAAAGCTTTCAATCTAATAACTTTCTAGAACTTCAAAGAGTTTGTACAGATTTAATAACTGAAAAAGTATTTAAGTCACTTGACTTGTCTTTTCTTTCTGAAAATTCTTTAATATCAATCATTAAAAGGGCCGAAATTATGAAGAATACTTAGATCCTGATTATGATGGATTATTAAGCGCTCTTAATGTATTGAAAGGCCACTTCCGCTGTGACGACAAACCTAATGCCAAATACATATTCGGTTTTACTGCCTATTTTCACTCTTATTTTTAGTGAAAAAGTTCGTCACTTTTATGAGAAGTCAGCCGGTTACAAACAATTACTGCGAGAGGTCCGAAAATAATAAATTCTCATTGTGACTTTCAATTGCGGACTAGGATCCGTTAATTAAACTGTGTCATATGACGATCTCTTTCATTGTTTATCTAGCGACATGTAAAAATAATTAATATAATTTTCATGACTCCTAGATATGAGAAGTATTTTGTTGATATAAATAGATTTGTTATTTACCAGAGATCAAAGTGTTATTTCTTGTTAAAATTTTGAAAATCACGTATTTGATTGTCTCAAATAAACTATAACATTTGGAAATTTCTCATAGTTCCTTCGAAATCTGCACGCATGAGTTTTTATTACGTAATGTTAAGTTAGTTCTTTTCACACAATTTTTATAATTTTTAAAATAATTTAAAGTTTCAATATCATCAATAAGATCCTGATAAAACGTCAAGGACATAATTGAAAATATGATGTTTCAAATATTTTAAATAATTTGGAAGTTTTACAAATAACCTCTATACATACCAATATCAAATAATCTTCTTGGAAATAGAGAGTACTTTGGAAGTATGCATCGAGGATAAATATATATTAATTTTTTGAAGTTGTAAAAAAAATAAAGCTTAACATTTAGGACATTTTAAAACGAACTTTATTAAAATTTTCAAGCTTATAAAATATGCAAGACCAAGAACCTTTATATAGGCTCAAAGACTTTTTTTCTCAAATTCTATAACACATGATATAATAAAGTCGCGGAAAACAAAAGCAGAATCATGTATTTGAAAAAAGTAATTTATATTTATTGCAGCTCAAATTTTATAAATTTCATTAACTTAATAAATTTATCAGTTGATTTTTAACGGGAAGAATGTCATAAAAGAAAATTGGCTTATAATATTAAATTAATTCAATTTCAATAAAAATATTTCGTATTTGTTGTTTTTAAATTTTTATATATTTTAGACATTTGACACAAAACATGAATAATTTATTCAAAATGTTTTAATTCAACACTTAGTGCCTACCTGCTCGTTTAGTATGGGTTTATTTTAATATCGTAAAATCACACATTCATTCTCCTTATTAATGATATTTTCGATTCGATTTGCTATTCGTAAATCTTTGCAAATGATTCTAAATTTATAAAATAAAAGATCAAATGAAAAACCATAGTAAACCATTTCAGTTAATAATAATATAGTCACTTTACCTGAAAAAACGCAGGTTAAATTATGTTTGTAAAGTCGTACTTTGGTTCATCTTATATATTATATTAATTCCAACGTATTGATCCGCTGTTCTATCATTATGACGAAAGTAGCATTAGCGATAACCCATGTTTGTGAGACCGATAACCGTAAAAATTGGAGATGTTAAATAATTACAATGCGTTAATTGATTGATAAATTTTAAAAGAATCATTAACGATGTTCCTTGTGAATTTTTGGACCGTTTATAATGATGAGATTCTTTATTATCATGGGTTAATTAAAAAATCGTATCAATTTTTAATGGCACAATAAATGCGGTAGGGAGTCCTGATGCGTAATTTAACATCCACCATCACCCTGGTGTCAAGTATTATTCGATCGCTTCATCACGAAGCGATTAAACCCATAAAATAAAATACAAATTAAGTTAAAAAAGGAAATTACCTTATCTACTTCCAGAATCAAATTAAACCGAAAGAAGTCCCTAAAGAAAAAAGTTCGATCAAGCTAAAGAGCGGATAGATGAAAATGTTCGATCGCAGCGGCCTGAAGAAAATAAACTTATCCGAAAATAAAGAGTAAAAAGAAATATCGCGGGTTGAAGCAAAAATAGAAAACGATGTCATTAATGAGAAAATCTCTCTCTCTCTCTCTCTCTCTCTCTCTAATATAAATCAATCGATGGACACGGAAATAATCGAACCCGAAAGAGGATAAGAAAAAATAAGAATAAATAAAGTTATGAAAAAAAAAATCGAATCAATGAGAAAACACTTGCCTATTATTAAATCAACATCAAACCTACTAATCAAATAAAAAAAAAAAGAATAAGAAAATAGAAAATCGAAAACGTTTGCCTATTTAATCATTCGAACCCCCCAAAAAATAATGATTAAAAAAAAATACCAATTGAATTAACTTTTACTTCCAAAAAAAAAAAAAAATATATAAAATATTATAAAAAAAAAAATCCAAAATTTAGAGCAAAAGAAATATCGGATCGCTATTGCAAAACAATCGAACCTGAATCAAAGAATTTTTCTAATAAAAAAAACCTGAAAATTGGTTGGTATTTGATCAAGAAAATATTTACGCTACGCCATAAATATTATTGCGAATTTTTAAAATAGTAATGTCAAATTCTTTTGAAATCGGGATATTTTGGCGGGAACGTTCCAAGATAATCCAATTTTTTTTTATTAGTTAAATAAAAAATGAATGCAATTTAGTATAATTTAATTATTTTAATAATTGGAGAAAATATTCCAAATTTGAGTAATAGATGTTGATATGACTATTGTTTTATTCTAAAATATTCCAGAAAGTTCGATCGTTAGAGTAATAGATTTTGCTGATATAACACGTAATGGTTTATTCTAAAATATTCCAAAAAGTTCGATTTTATGAGTAATAGATGTTGCCGATATGATAACACATAAAAAGGATCCCCTTGAAAAATTTCAAAACTTCTTCTCTCACTCAAAGAAACAACAAACCATTTCACTCTTTACATAGTCGCTCAAAAAACGAAAATATACTTTATAAGTTTCTAAACCTTTATGTTTTTTATTTTCTCTTTAAAATACTATTTATTAATTTAACATTTGTGGATTATTATTTTACACAAATTATTTCAGTAGTTCTAAAAAAAAAATTGTAATTTCGTATGTATATGAACATCCCCTCCATCCCTCTATCCATCCCTCTATCCCTCCCTCTTTCCACCCTTTCCCTCCTTCCCTTCCCTCCTTCCCTCCTTCCCTCCCTTCCTCCTTCCCTTCCTCCCTTCCTCCTTCCCTTCCTCCCTTCCTCCTCCCTCCCTCCCTCCCTCTCTCCTTCCTCTTCCACCAGATGATCCTGATGTTGTTCCTGCTCCTCCTGCTGCACGACGAAGAAGAACCACCACGGCGGGAACCACACCCCGTCGAAATTCTGGTGATGTAATGGCTATGAGACAATTACGAGAAGAATACGAGATGAGGGATTTCGATAGGTGGTGTTGCCTAATTTACCAAAAATAAAATGTATGTTTAAAGATAATAATTGTAATTTATTTAATTTTTTTGACATAAATTAAACTTTAAAATTTTTTTATCACAGTAAAATCCAAGGTACTGGCGACGAAGAACCACCACGGCAGGTCAACCATACCCGTCGAAGTGCTGATGTGAGTGATGTAATGACGATGAGAGAATTACGAGAGGAACACTTTGATTTGGTCAACGTGATGAAGAATTACGATAGGTGGTGTTGCTTAATCTATTCGTAACATCGTGGAAGAGTTTGCAGGGGTTCTCTCCCGACGCGAAAACCTCGGAAAAATCGGTATCGTGGCGGCGCCCTCCGGATAATTATCCGGAGCAGAGAGAGCCGGACGGGCGCATGGGATTCTCTTGACGAACCCAAAAGATCTTGCAACGATCTTTTTAATATAATAGCTAAAAGATAAAAATAAATAGATCGTTTTAAATTTAAAAAAATGTATTTGTAATTTCTTTTTTTATTTCTTGTATTATTACTTATTATTTAATTCCTGTAATTCCTTATTATTTTAAATTATTTTCATCTATTGTATTTTTATTTTGTATTGTATATTTTATTACCTTTATTTTCGACTGCGTTTCCGAGTGAATATTTAATTCCTATTTGCTTTAAGCTGTGATCTTTTATGATCTTGAAGAGTTTAATTCAGTGATAGGATTGAAAATTAAAACATTTACTCGAAAATCACATTATTTGGTCACAAAAAATTCTAAATTTGACTATTGAAAAACAAACTTAATCTCAACACACCAACCATTTCCTGAATTCGATAATTAATGATAATTAATGTACTTTTACCCCTATTTTTTTAACAAAGAATTTAATTATGAACTATAAATAAAATCCTCCTTAATTATTTCATATCATATCCGCTTGACCAGTATGGCGAGCGTAAAACCATGGTTTCAATTGAATCGTTTGATATTGCTTGGTTAATTTTTTCTTTTTCCTAGCAAATGAGCATATAGGAAATCATATGATCTGTAATGTGAACGCTCCCCATATAACAGATTTAAAATTCCAGAAATATTTACTGAATTTTTTTAATTCCTCTTCGAGTTGGTTCCATAAATAAGTTTATTTTGGTCATTTCATTTAAATTTTTTTTTTGTTATTTCACCTTTTTAACGAATTATTTGGATTGGATGTATAAGCAAAATTGTCTTTTCGATTTTATTTTTTATTTTATCTAACAGTTTGTATCGCTGCGAGCAACTAATATTTCGAACTTTTTTTTAAGCTTCCACTTTCTGATTGACGTATTTCGGAAGCACTGTATATATATATATATTATTTGTTTCTTTATTAGATTTTATTTCATTTATTTTTCCATTTCGATTCGATCGCTTCAGGCTTTAGCATATAATATAGTTATGTTTTTCAATATTGTTTATATATTAAATATTTAAAGTAAAATATGTCCATATTTAGCATTAACAAAAATTTTATCGGCAAAACCTTACTTTGGTCCGTTGCGTCGATGCTTTTTGAAATTTACTTATTTCGTTTATATTAATGAATAATTTCTTTTGCATATTAAATAATTTCACGATTTCGTATGTAATATCTATCCAAAGATGTTAAATCAAAATTCATTTCATTAAACCATTATCCTCCCTTTTAACGAGATTTGGTAAATTCAAAGGTTTCCGGAATGATTTTAGCTCGAAAATTAAAAACTTTATAGAATATTACGGAAGTAGGAAATACTAACCAATATGCATAGAGCAGAGCTCACTTGGGTGAGCTTTAACGTTAGATTTTTTGCCTAGACTCCATGGAAAAACTTGGCTATTTATACACACATATTTTTTGATCGGTTAATATCAAAATTTTTCTTTTAAATCCAAAATTCATAATCGATTGTAAAAAGAGTTACCTGTTGAAAGAGAATCTATTGCGTTTAATGAACAATAATCAGTTGTAAGAACAATAGAATCAAATCATGTAATAAAATTTCTTTTGTATATATGAAAAATTGAATGTGGTTGGCTTTATAGTATGAAATATTTAAAATCATAAAAAAATAATGTAACAATGGTTCTTCGATAATATATTTTACTAAAAGTAATGAGCTTTGTGTGAAACAAATTATTCCTTAACGTTATATGTTCAAATTTTAAGCATTAACTATTTAAAAAGACAAAGCCGGGGATACCTGGAATTTATATCGATAAGATGAGTCAAAATAAAAGGTGTCGCACTAATTTATCGTGATGCATCATACTCCTTAATGGAATTTATAATCAATAATTTAAAAAAAAAAAGTCGTAGGTAGCTAATTTCTATCACTGATACTGGTTAAAAAATTTCATAGTTTATCAATTTTTTATTTTCTTCATTCGATTGAAGATTCGTTGAGACTTATTTTATCATGTCCAGTTTGAAGTGTTATATATATTCAATATCAAGGATTCTAAACGGTCATGTTCATAATAGTGGCCGATATCAGGCCTTTTACCGAACGTTGTCTGACCGTTACCATCCCAATCAGTTACGAATTCTGAATCGGTTCTTCTTCCAAGGCAAGGTAAATGAAATAAACAAAAAAAAAAATATAATTATGATAAAATTTTGATTTTTACTAAATAGATTTTTCTCTTTTGAAGAAAGACGAGTAGGAAAGTAAGTTTGAATAATAAATAAGGGAGATGTACTGTAAATTTCAATATTTCCTTTCTTTATTGACAGGATGATCAATCACTGTCGCGTTTTCTTATTTGCATAGATTTCTTATGATAATGTTGACTGATGATAGCATTTTTTTTGTCTAAAAATTTTAACAAAATTATTTCGTGTAGCTGTTGGCGATTTTTATAGTCTGCATACTCAATGCAAAATGCATTTCAGTAGACCCTTATTAGGACTTTAATTCGATATTTTATGATGGTAATCAGTGTCCCAAGCCATTGACAAAGTTGGACTCCCAGGAGAGACCTAATCGGAAGCCTACCGTTAAAGGTTCATCTTCTCTCAGGGTGCATTGCATCATCAAGAACTTGTGCTATCAAATATATTTTTTAAGTATTTTGTAAAAAGTATAAAGTGTATTTCGTGTGGCAAAGTTATCTGAATGTTATTATCATTGCACGAGTAATTTAAGTTATTAATTACGTAGTTTACATTTTGTGGCCCTTTGCAAAAAAAAGAAAAGTAATATGCAAGATAATTTTTTGTGAAAAATTAGATCATATAGAAATCTTAAGCCTTTTAATGCACATCATATAAATTTTCAAATCTTATCAATCCATTATCTTCAAAAAATAAATATTTGAGATGATTATAGATTTGAAAAAAAAAAAAAAATTCGGATCGTCAAACCTTGAGAAAAATACTAACCCAGAAAAAGTGAGAAATATGGATTTATTAAATTGCTTAAACCACAACGAAACGATTTATAAAATAAAATGTTGTATAAAGATATTTTTGAAAAAATTTACAATCTTTAGTTTACAGTAATTTGATAGTTAAGAATAAGTACTTTCTTAAATTAAATTTGGAATCATTGGGTCAGTTTCTTCCGCATTTGCATTTCTAACAAAATATTTATAACAAAGATATGCTGATAATAAGCATAAAAAAATTAAAAATAAAATAATTTTTTTAATATTTGATTCCGGAGATGGCAATGGAGTTGGCACTGGGTCTGGCACTGGGTCCGGTACAGGGACCGGCACAGTAGCATTTGGAGTAAAATTCGTGACCCATTTGTAATCATTTTTATCACTTATGTCAAGCATAAGAATTTGATTACTATAAACTGCGGGAGCTGAACCTTTATAGATCCAACCTATAAATGTGTATAAATAATATTTTAGTTAATTTAATTAAAATACCTTTGTTAATTCAAGAGTTTGAAATTATACCAAATGCAACAATCATGTAATTTCCAACAAGAGTAGCTGTATGCCCAGCATAAGGTGCAGCACTAGGGGTAAATTTAATCTCGGGAATACTCCATCTAAAGATTGTTTCGGTGGTATCTAGAACCGATAATTGTTGATCAGGAGAAACAGGAACTCCTCCGTAGACAATAATGCGACCATCTTGCGCTTGATGAGATTAAATAATTTGGTTGATTTGCATTAACTTAAAAAACAAAAATTGCACAAATTAAAAATTTAAATTAGACATACTTAAGACGGCTGAGTGCCATGCTCTACCACTTGGTGGAGTGCCCGTAGTAAACTATAAATATTTGAAAGTATGTATTTGTAAATATGTATCAAAGTTCTTAAATAACAGATAAGAAAATGCAAGTAAATTATAACCATTCGTAACCATTCATCATTAATGGTATCATATAAATAAATCTTTATTTGATGTAAAAAAAAAAAAAGATTTTTAAAAGTCAGAATCAAATATGATGGGACAAGCATATATAAAGATCAATTTAAATACAATATTTAGTCAAACCTTTGACATGTTAATAAATTGTACATTACTATATCCACCTAGATAGACGATTTTCCCATTCGATAATAAATTTGCGGTAGCCAATTCCATGGGAGGTGGGATATTTTTACTACTTCCCAATGACCAAGTCAATTGATCTGTGTCCAAAATATCAAAATCATTTTGATAACCTTCACTGTTTGTACCTCCAAATATAAACATCCTTGCATTTCCATCACATACGACTGATGACGCTTTACGTCTTTTTGGTTGAGTTCCTCGAATATTTGTATTAGTCCATTGTGGAACGCTAATGTTAAATGCATAAACTAAGGATGCAGCACTTTCATCAATATCAATCGTACCACCAAACAGAAAGATTGTATCTTTATTAGGACCACACACGGTTGATGTCGCTCTTTGATGTTTAGCAATCTGAACCTTGCTGGTTATATCGACTATTGGCAAAGAATCTAAAGTAAAAGGTGCCGAAACGTCTAAATAAAAAAAATCATTGGTATATGATGTTGTATCTGTTTCACCACCAAGAAAGTAAATTTTATCATTCACGTAATTTGCAGTATGAAGCGCACGCACTATAAGTTTATAAGAATTAACAAGTGTAAGCAATTGAAAGAGCAAAATAAGAAATATGTCATATCGAAACATTATGCTTTCAACAATAAAATTATTGTATAAAAAAAAAAATTCCTTAATTTGTTTAATTTGTATTATGCTTGAATAAGCCACACAAATTTTGTGTCACATAAATAACTATTTGTAACCGGCCAAAAATTCGTTAACCGGTTAAGGTTAATATTTTTGCAATCATAAAAATTAATTCGGGCCGTAAATTGAATTTCGGCCGGAGTTAAATTCATCTTAACCGGTTAAAAAAAATCTTTTAACATGTTAACCGCTTTAACCGGCTAATTAAACGGATTAAAAATTAACCGGTTCCAACTAAATTAAAGCATGATATTGCGAGATGTATCCATCCAAGAAAGAGTAGTAATCGAAAAATTTATTTGATAGTATCTAACGATAATGCTCCATTCAAACTTCTGGAATAATATATGGTAATACACCGTAAATTTTGTCATCAGATTTTTGCTTAACTAATGGCACTGATAATCAAAAATCTGAAGCATCACTACCTTGTAAGATATTTCCATTATGTAAATTCTTATTACATAATATAATTTTTTAATTTTATCTTTCCATAAAATGTTGTTTAAAATTATTTGAAAGATAACTTCTAGATGCAAATTGTACGACCATAATAAAATCTTTAGTTCCGGATTCTTAGTTATACCATAAAATTTTTAATGTGATAGAACTTTCATTACAAAAATCCCAATGTATTTTAAGCTAGTTTTCGTAATAAATGTTCAAACAAAATTAGGAATGTTCTTAATGTGATATACCTCATTAAAATATTTAGTTGACATTTCCCGTGATCCTTTTCAAAGCAACCTTCATAGGTTTAGGATCTGATTTCTTCCAACTTCCGTCATCTTGCTTTCTAAATTCAGATTGACCATCGATCCATGTTGCAAAATGCACTTTGGCAAATCCCTCCTCACCAACTTCTTTTATATCCATAAGGCATCCATTTAAACATCTTTGATATTGTTACGATTTAATGTAATTCCGGCCGAAATCTTTATAACTTCGCTTGAAAATCGTTCATGATTATTATAGTTAGTCCCTTTGACGATCATTTGCCAGGCTGTCACGATGCCAGTATGACAAATGGTCAAAATGCCAGGCTGGCTTAATTAAAATTCTTTATATATATCGAGCCGGAAATCCTAAAACAGCTCAATATCCCATGCTCGCCTTTAATATATTTCTTTGAAAAACATTCCCTTCACAATCCTCATTTTACACCTTCGCGATAATTTCGATTTTCGCCCTTTTAATTTTATAATTTCACACTTGTAACACCGTTTATTATTTTATTTTAATTTCCGATTTTATTAGTATTTCATTATACAATTTTTATGCAACATTTTCGTAATTGCGTAGTTTTAATTTAGTATTTGACATTTATAGAGTTTAAAATATTGATATAGCGAAAGTGTAGAGCGCCGAAGTTGAGGAAACACTGATTAATTTGATATTATTAAATAAATACTTGTCACAATTACATCATTTTTATTCAATAATTATTCATTAAAAACCTTCTGCTTACATTACAAATTGTTTATAAATACATAAACGAAAGAACTGAATACAACAATATGCTTTTTCATTACTTGCATGATACATTGTATCTTTGATGAATTTATCTATATCAGAATTTCCATTAGTCCATACGCAAAGGATCATATTCTTTACACCTAATAAATCTTCAAACGGTTTATCGTAATAAGAACAATTCTTTTTCTAATTTATCGATTTGAATTTCATCTTCCATTTTTATTAAATAAAAAAAAAAATTTATCATGACCAAAATTAGATCAACGGAATATATTTTCCGAACATTGCACAGTTGTACAAATCATGCGATAAAGTGATCGGTTACTGCGGTAATTATCAATCAAAGATGTTGAGTTCGGACTTATAAACGCGTTCTCAACTAATTATCAGTGGAGTTTATTCAGCTTATAACGCGTTCACATAGTTTAATAAAAGTTTATTCCGAATCATATATATATTCAATAAGTTTAATATAGACCTCTCCAGAAAATCGTTGTTCATTTTTTTACTTCTTTCAAGCCAGATCTTTAAAAATATGTCTAACATTTACGAAATCATCGATAGCCTTGATCTCAAAGAAGAAGCTAATAAACTACAAATTTATCTAATTAAAAATCCAAAAGAAGAAGAAAAGTTGTTATTAGCTCTTAAAAGTACCTATAAAACGAAAGAAGATAAACGAAGTCTTATGAAAGATTTCCTTAATACTATAACTGGTATGCTGAAATATTTGTCGTTATTATTGTTTGTGACACTACGACTAAACCTTTTTTTGTTCTTTATCACGTGCCTGTGGATTTAGATGAACATCAAGGTAAGCCTTTGCGTCGTAATGATCAACATGAGCGTGACTTATAATTTATCAATCTTTTTTACTTTAGCACGAACAAAAATTAAAATTATGGATGAATTTCCCAACGGTATGTATTTATTTATTTTAGACATCCAAGGATTTGCATTGTGACTGATCAACATTTCACTAATCCATTAGGCTTACAATTTATACAACCGAAACCGTTACTTTGTTGTACTGGCTCAGAATGGACCTATCAACCAGCAAAAACATTATATGAAGAGTTGCGATATGAACTCAAAGAACATTATCAAAATTTTCTTCAGGAAAATTTCGATAAAACATATATCCGATATACCTATTCCTTTCCGGTGCTGGCACGGGCAAGTCAAGAAATGCTGAGGAATTTCATAGAACAGCAATTGCATGCCTTTCGGAAGATGAGGATCTTAATCTGAGAAAGAATATTGAGAATGCTTTTGTATTCAGCGTTGGATTTGAGAATGGAAATAGCTTGAGATGCGGTGTAGAACAGAGCGCGTACAGATCGAATGCTTAAACAACTACTTCCCGATCAAGATTTAGATCTGATCATTTCTAATTATGAAGCACCGTTAACATGGGAGGTTTTTGAATTGGTGTCTAATACGAAAATCGTGAATTAAAAGAAAAGACAATTTTGTTGATCATTGACGGTCTACAAAATATAATGAAATCGAATAATGATTAGAATGACAAGACATCTGAATTCTTTAAAACTTTGACGAATATACATGACCTTGCCTTACGAGGTACTTTTGTGATACCATTATGTACTGCAACAGTCTCTGATCCAGTTGAAAGTGTATTGAAAATCACACATCGTAAACGTGTATATTTGTCAATTGCATCTCTGGATCCCCCTACCATTATTAAAAGCGGTGTTATGACTTATATCTTTCAACAGATGATCATATCATTAAAATGCTGGTAAATGACTGTGGTGGACATGGGAGGGCCCTCGAAGTTTTACAGGAAATCTTAAAAGACCGTGATATTCAAAATGTAAACATCAACGATGTGATGAATGATTTGCGCATCAGGCTTCGCGACCGGTACTGTGAGGCACTTATGTTATCACCTAGTGAAGCTAGGACTATTGCACGAGCAACACTTACTCGGCATCTCTTGAAATTTAATAAGCATGTTCCTGGCACAAAAAAGTATCCCGACCATATTGTACAACCTGGGCTAATTTCGTTATGAAAGTAATTCCAGTGTGGGATATTTCGATTTACCTTACATATGGATTTGGATCTTGACTAATTCTTCAGATGGCAAGGATCCAGTACTTAGAGACAGGTCTAACGAAAATCCGACATGTCCGCCAGGATCACAGTTCTGGCAACACTTTGAACATTTCGTTGCTTCTTTTCGCACACTAAAATCAAGAAATCTAAATGATGGCGAATTAACATCAATCTCAAGCATTCACATTGGAGCGCGTTTGAATGGTGATTTTGAATTTAAAAATCATCATTTGGAGTTAGAATGCGCAGTACATCAAGAAGAAACAAATTCATCAAACTATGGAAAGGATAAAAAGGAGATTATGTGTGAAGACAAGACACTAGATGTACGTGAATGCAAGTATTGTGTCATTAATGGTGCATCTGCGCCATATGGTGATACGTTACTTGGGCTAGATGTTAATTTAAAGTTAGGAAAACCGAACGAAGTCCATCAATACAAAAGATGGAAAGTGAATTCTCTCGTAAGAAGTCTGCATCGAGTAAAGACTTGTTTATTTTGTTTATAACCACAAATTGTTTGGATTTCAAACTACCAAAAAACTCTGGAATTGTAGACGCGTCCAATTGGGACAAATATTTCGGTCCTTATTCTGGTAGGGCACATGCTTACGCTAATGTAGGTCCTTTGAACATTAATAAGGCAAGTCGCAGAGATCTCCTGTCGGTGTATGGAATTGGTGAAATACAATTATGACTAAGAGAGAATTCAAAGGCATAGAAGATGCGAAAAAAAGGACTGATATACCAGAAAGGGTGTTAAAAAGATTCAAATTTTGAAAATTAAAGATTGATCGATATAGAAGTTGAGATAATAAAAGCATCGTATGTAATTAGGGTTTAAAAAGATGAAAGCTAAAATTACTATACATACATTGTAAGGAATAGTATTTTTGAGATTGCTTGCATCGTTAACAATCTAAATAGTGTCATTATAAGGTAAATTATAAAGGTATAAATTTGATCAGAATAATAAAGACAATAATACTGGAATGAAAAATCTAAGGATTTACAATATAAAATTTTATGCAAAGAGTTACAAATTAATTCAAATATAAATAATATAATTTGGTAGCATGATTTCATTTGATTAAGATTACTTTATTTAGGATAGTGATTTAAATAAATGGAATATTCAAGCAGATCAAGAAAATGCGATATTTGTAAGTCAAGGGTCACAATACACGAACTTAAATCGTTCAACGGTCGTTTTGTTGTGACTGAAATTGATTTTCGTCTTTCAGACGATCTTCGAGCGTCTGAAATTGAGATTCCAATTTCAGACACCCCTTTTTGTTTTCTGAATTGATACTCGAAGATCGTCTGAATTCCAATTTCAGACGAAAATCAATTTCAGACGCTCGAAGATCGTCTGAATTCCAACTTCAGACGAAAATCAATTTCAGTCACAACAGTTTGACAAACCGGTTAATATTAACAATTTAATTGATCAAAATATGAAATTTTAATTTATATATTTGGTTTTGATTATTTTTTAAGCTTATGCCAATTCCTTTTTTATTTTAAATTTTTGTGGCGCTATATTATCCGGACTTCAGACTTCTTTTTTTTGAGATATTGCTTGCATCACTACAAACTCAATAATATAATTACAATGAAGCATTTTTGACCAAGCGTGAATTGAAATCGGAAACAACGCAGAATTAATTTTAGGCTAATAATCCTACAAAAGTTCAATTACAAAATTTAAAATTTAAAAGATTTCTTTGCATATATATCCATTGAGGAATGTGGCGATCACCAATCACCAAGAGGAAACCGTTTGAACAGTTTCCATCGCTTCTCGATGGATTCCTACAATAGTATGTTGAATAATTGAAATGAATACTCATGAATATTCAATAGCCTGTATGTCACAATATTTGAGTGTCACAAAGAAATATGCATGCATCATGGCCACAACGAATTCATAAAAATGAACTTTAAAAATCGATCATACAAAGAAATTCGAGTAAAAAAAAAAATTTGAACCTTTTTATAGAACGTACATTAAACTTGATCATAGAGTAATGATCTACTGTAAATGATTTACTAACTCTGTAGATTAAAATTGTCTTCGAAAAAAATTTCCTCTCAAATCGGTAATTAAAGCTGAAACAAAAAATTTTGCCACAAATATTTCCAAATTTACAAATATCATAAATCAATAGAATAATTTTATTCTATATGGAAAATTCAATGTGTAATGATATTAGACGGGATGTTATTTACCCACTCCCGATTATTATTTCCTCGTTAATATGTGCAATAATAACCATTTGATAATATAGAATTATTATTTTTTTTGCATTTTGAATAATAACGTCTATGAACGCAGTAGATTATTTTTATTTTCATTCAAGGTATAGCAATTAAAAAAAAAATTGTTGCCAAGACAATCTTCTGCGTCATTGTTCAATTATAAAGCAAATAACAAAGATTTCTTTTTTTTTTTTTTGTTTATTGTCTTGGCACGCTTTCTATAACGTTTTTATAGAAATTCTTTATTTGTATTTTTGTTTTTTTTTTTTTTAAGATTTCTCAAAGGAAGTTTAATTACATGATTGTTCAAAAGTACTAGATCGGGCCTCGGGCTAAAAAAAGTTTATTTGTAATAAATGTTTACCTGGTAATTGAAATTTGATTGTTGAATCACGCTTGGCTAATTATCTTAGCCTGTTTCTGAAATCAAAAGTGGAATAGATCGTAAATAAATAAAACTTGGCAATATCATAACAAAATATAAAAAGTAAACGTAAAAGTAAAATTGTTCAAATTATTTCTTACAATACGCACTGCAAACCCTCGTTAGGAAAAATGAACCCAACAAATTTGAAAGATTCTGCCAAACAATCAACAACAATTAATACTAATGGAAAGTTTCCTTCTCAACAACAACATAATAATGAGAGTAGATATGAATGTAATCAAAGAGAGTTACAAAATAATCAAGTAATTTCGAATAATGGACTTGATAAAAAAAGTGTACCCGCAGCTATAAATAATAAAGGTAACAAAATCGTTTTAAATAAAAAAACTTTAAATGGACGTTAATCATTGAATAAATTATGTACCGTACATTAGATCATGTGACGCGTAGCCGTAACAAATGCTTAGTTTGTTGTACCCCAAAAATTTTAATGATAATTTCTGCAATTTATTTGATTATAGGATTTATTCATATGGTAAATATTATTTATTTATGAAAAATGAATTATAAAATTATTCATTAACATTCGTAGAATTTCATATCATACAGTTTGTGCGATTAGCCAACTATAAATTATGTCGCGATTACCATGCTAAATTAGATGCCACAACTCCAACTACCATATCTTATGACCCAAGCACAATCTCAACCTTGAATGTTGAAGGCATTGGTTATTTTTATGTAAGTAGAAATTAAATTAAATTCTAAAGTATTTAGGACGCTAAAAATAAATTTTTATTTCTTGTAAAATAAACAGGATTATTCTAAAGATCATGAACTCTTGATAACGCAAGCAAATGATGCTCTAGCCACGAATACAACAATTCAAATTCATGTTATTTCAACACAAAGTTCTGATGTTCAATTTGAGACAAGCATTACGCCTACTGCTTACAACATAAATTTCGTAATAACATTTATATCATTTTTGTTGTTAATATTTTTATCGCGGAAAAAAAAATTAAATTTTATTTTTTTTTTTTTTTTTATATATATAGAAAAAAGATCGATCTTGGATACCAGGCTTGAGTATTCCACCCAGATGTGTTGTGATCAGAGTTGAAGTGATTTTACCTCAAAAATTAACGAATTTATCGCCAATAAATGTTAATTCAAATATTTTTAATGTTAAATTCCTACAAAATACAATAAACTCAATTCCATACCCCTACCCAATAAATTTTAAAACTACAAACGGCGACGTTGACATTGAAAATCTTTTAATAACAAGCGCATCGATCCAAACCAGTAGTGGAGATATAAAAGGTTCAATCACATCGGTACGAAACGAAGTACATATCGAGTCAACAAGTGGCGACATTGACGTTAGCGTTTATGCCAACACCAATGTGATTGCTAACATGGTAGGCGGAACGAGTCCAAGAATTGGATTGAAAAGCACCAATGGAGACATTGATTTGCAATTAAATGTTTCAAATGGCATCGTTAAGCCTGTTATTGATGTCACTGCGACAAGTGGAGATATTGACGCAAATATTCTATTGGCTAGTGGAATTACTGATAGTCAAATTACTATCAATTCCACAAGTGGGGATGTTGAATTAAATTTGGTAAGATTTTCTTTAGATACATTAATTCAATTTAAAAGATTTTTTAATTTTATTCTTTATCAAATTTAGCAACATTCATTCGAAGGACAATATGAAATTAAGACTACATCAGGTAACATCGATCTCAATGTTGGGAATGATAAAGATCATAATGGATTAGGTAGAATTGGATCATTAGATTCACAAGGATTTCTGATTGTCCAGTCCACAAGCGGTGATGTTGAAGTTAGATTTTAAAATATATTCGTTTAGAATTTTCAATCTGTTATAAAATAAATATGCTTATTTTGTAATTTTAGTACGAATTGATTTATAAATAAATTACTTTATAAAGAAACAATATTCGTAAAGGCGTAGTCTTGGCATAGTAATTAAATAAATGTCATCATCGTACAGATTGACTCCCCTTAAGTCAACTTTAAGAAATTTCAAATTTATTTATAATCCTTTTTTATGGTTAGGCTCAAAAAACAAAAATAGTGGCACGAAAGTGGGTGTTGGAAAATCGTTTATCCCTCCCTCTGTTTGTTTCTAACTTGCCGATCCAGTGAAAAAAACCATTGTTTCTGGAATTTATCCGTTTTTGACAAAAAAAAAAACCAAACCATTAAAATGAACATTAAAATGAATTAATTTTAAACGAAAAAGAATAAAAAAAAAACGTCAAATAAAACCCTATAGTTGTTCATCCTCAGGAGTAAAGTGTTGAATTCTAATTGATGATAATCGGTGCAACCAAAAAGTAAAATAAAAAAGCGTGCTTTGCATGTGTGCTGCCATAACATAACCCTTTGCGTGACGAAAATTATAAATACACATTGAATAATATATTTATTTTATTTTTTTTTTTTTTAAAAAAAGTTATAAAAATTTCTCTAAATTAGGATTAGCAACTTTAAAATTATTTAGATAGGTAACAAGCAGCATAATGCACACTTACAACAACTCGTACATTTTTCATTGAAAAAAAAAATTTTTTTTATTTCTTTTATATAAATTGAAATTTTTTCTTCTTTTTTTTTAGGTTCAATTCTTTTTATTCTTTTTAATTAAAGACGAATCACTAATTTTCCGTAGTAACTAAACCATTTTTTTTCCTCGGTCCTAAAAGATTTATATTAAGAATGTCATTTAAATTTATTGATTATCCAGCGCAAATCAAAACCGCTGTCAAAAAGTATGAAGAACAAGATAAAGAAACTGAACGAAATATATCGGACCAAGTAAAAACTAGTGTTGCGATAAATGGCTATGACGATGAAACGTTTAAAGACGATATGAAAGGCGATATGAATGACGATTCTTGTATTACCCACGATAAAGAAGCTAGCGACATAACCACCAATAGTGATACAAAATGTAATTATCTTTGATTTGTGATTTGTAATTTATAATTGATTATAACTTTTGGCTGACCGTTCCTTTTGACCTTCCTTTGTATACATACAGTACAACGTAAAAAAGCTTGTGGTTGTCTGACGAGAATTATATTGATATGGACCACCATTATTTTATTAATACTCGGGTTAATTTATGGGGTAGGTTATAAATATAATTTATTCATGTTCTTTTTTATTTATTATTTTTTTTTTTTTTTCGTAAAAACTTAATTTTTTTTTTTCAAAAAAAAAAAAAAAAAAAAAAATTATTAGGTCGTAATCATAGTCTGTTATCAAAATTGTGATCATTTATCGAAGCACATTGAATTAATAGAACCAGAAATAATATCATATGATCCGAATCTTTATAACAATTTTAATATTGAAGATTTTAACAATGTCAAGGTAAAAAGTGGATACACGCGCGTTTCATTTAAATTTTAAAATGCTTATACTGTATATACACATAACTTATAGGATGGCGAAATTCTCGTGTCACAAAACGTCGAGCCTAACGATAATAATGCTACATTATCTGTTAAACTTGCAACGCTAACCTACACAAAGGCTTTTACGAAATCGATATTTCAAGATTCCACTTTTAATTTACAAATCGTAAGTACACTTCTAATATTCGATCCTCCTTTTTCACGATAACAAAGATATTTAAAATTAATTATTTTCGAATTCCTACAGTTACGAGAATCATTTCCAAATTCAAAAAAACTAGCATGGTTGGGATATTTGACAATTCCACCAAAATGTGTCGTGGTAAGATTAGAGTTAACATTACCACAAATTAAAAATAATGCGACCTCGCTAATTAATTCCAACAGATTTAACACGAATTTTGCGAATAATTCGGTTCCTTATTCAAACCCGATTCATTTAGAGACTTCAGATGGTGATGTTTCATTTGATAACAGTTTACTAGCGAACCAATTATCAGTTGTAACCCTAAGTGGAAATATTAATGGAAATTTAATTCAATCAATGCAAAATGATTTTAATCTCGAAACCAAAAGTGGAAATATAAAATTAAATTTGGACATTAAAAAAGATTTAGGTGATAATAATTTAGTGAGTCCTGGACAATCTAATGTTAAAGTTATGACTTCAAAAGGAGATATTAATTTAGGTATAAATATTGAAAAAGATATTAAAAGTCCCAACGTTGATATAAGTTCAGTTCATTCTGATATCTCTGTCGGATTTGTAAGTATTTTTCATAACATTTTCCTTCCCTTTACACGACGCTGTTTGCCGATTGTAAAAATAAAAATTTTTTTTTTCTATTTTATAGAATAATTCATTTAATGGACATTATGATATAAAATCTACTGGACAAATTAAAATAGAAAACAATCATGAAATCACGAGTACAGCAAATGGTGATGTTGGTGATTTTAATAATAATGAATTAAGTGGCGTTGTAAATATTCGATCCAATAATGGTAAAATTGACGCGAAGTTTTAGAATTCCTTTGTAAATTTCCGCTCGTAATTACTTTCTTATCATAATATGTATATTACTTTAAAGAACATTTAAATTAATAATAATATAATCAAATTCTCGCGAAAATTAAAATTCACGTATGCATCTCTTCGCATGCGTAGCTAATAAGGTCATAGGTTACCTATAAAATTTGATTTGACGATTACATTCTAGGAGGGATACTTATATTGTATAGTTTCCGTCATAGAAATCTTTTGCGTCGTTTGTTCTTAAAGAGAAATTATGTGATGCAACAGTTGAATGATACTTGTGCGTTTTACGGTTTCAGTTCCTTAAAATCATGATAATGCGTGATCACGATAAACAAAATTTCTTCGTTTTGATCAAGTGAGGAACTTTTTTGGAAGAACATAAACATAACTGAGATTTTCGAGTTTAAGTTCACAGACTTCGAGTTTAGGATCTTTTTTTCTCCAATATGACCTTATCCAAATACTGTGAAAATATCTAGAATGATTTAAGCGTAAAAAGCTTTAATTTACTCGATTGACTTTTTTTTATTTATTCGAAATTTTTTTTTTTTTTTTATGATACCATAAAATACAAAGATATACAATAATTTACATCACTTTTTGGACGTAAAACCGAAAAGTGTTTATGTAGGATTTAAATTTATTAGCCTCCGAAACAAAACCCTCGATTAATGCATCGTAATGTTGGTCGTTTAAACCCATTACCGGCTGCAAATTATCTCGAAGTGCTGATAATTCTATGACAAAAACTTCAAGTGACTGTCATTTGTGAAAATAAAATTCATTAAAATAAATAAGATTAAAATTAAAATAAAATTAATATGTTAGTAGAAATGATACGTACCACCGAACCCAAACTTCCACCCCAACCTCCAAGTGGAACCGACCTTTTCTCACAACGAACGTCCATTAACTGATCATTTGATCGCATAAGTTCCGGAAGATGCTTGCTGATATTCGGAATTAAACCTTGCGATAAGAAAAATGAAGTCATTCCAGCATTTAATCGCTTTATAATTGGGCCTTCGTTATGTAGAACATAATCATATTCTAGGAATTCTATCCATCCTCCGGGTTTCGTTACTCTCACGATTTCTAATAATACATCCTGCCATTGCGATGCCGTGAATGATGTGGATAAAAGTGATTGATGCACATAATCAAAGGTATCATCAGGAAAAGGTAGTTCATTAAGAATGTTATATTGTACAAACGAAGCGTTTCTAGGTTTGACGTGTTGTGGAAACACGGGGGATATGTCTAGTCCAATAAATATTGTTGCTTTATATTCGGCCGCTAGGTCCATTATCCATGATCCAGTACCGCAACTAGAAACGAACGAACGAACGAGCAAAGGAAATTAGAAACAACATAAATTTTTTTAAACCAAGGTTCAAAAAATATACACACCCAATGTCTAGAACACGACCACCGCCAGCGGATAATATAGGAGTTATGGGAGAAGTATAACAGGTTCTCCAATACTCTTTAAGTAAATAATATTGTAATTCTAATTTTTCAATTCCTTCTTCATCATTAGGGAAAATATATTTAATCGTTTCATCCATATGAAATCTTCTACCATTTATATATCTATAAGGAGTGGTTGATTCATCAAAAGGAATTTCATCTATCCATTTTTCATTACATTTTACTGCTTTAGAAGCACATGCGCCCATATTTGCATTAGGGACAAATTTTATTTTATTATTTTTTTTTTTTTTTTTTTTATATTTTTTTTTTTTAATAAATAAATTTTGGGGGGAAATGTTAGGAAAAATGAAAATCATTGATTTTTTATACTATATTTATATGCATTCTGTCAACATCTGCATCTGTACGGGGTATAATTTCCGTTAGGCGAGAAGAGAGATTTGCTTAAAAGGAAACGATATTCAAGATAACACGTTTATTATTTGAATCACAAGTGCCGCGTTTTTTTGTGTTATTTCAAGATCTATCCAGTTATTTCTGCTGAACCATGATTTTCCGGTAATCTTTATGAAGATTCATACTTGTTAAGGAATGAGTTCGGAATAATTTCGGAATTACCGCGCGCCGTTCCTGAAAGAGTTGGGAAAATAATTTTTATGAACGATAGGTTTATTTTTGAACCCGTTTGATTGCGATTCAACAAATAACAAATAATGACGTATCAACTTTTTTGGATCCCTTATGATGGAAAAAAAAAAAAAAAAAAACTTGATTCCCTGCACGTATATTTGTTTCATCTATTCTGTAAAACGTTTACTTTTAAAAGTTAATTTTTTATTGTTTTTAAATTTTCCTATTACATTGAACCTTATTTTTTGCGAGAATTCCACAAAAAAATAAAAATAAATAAATAAAATTTTTTTAATGCATAAATTAAAAATTTAAAATTTGCTGTGACACCACCCTTATTTAGGATAAATGTTTTACAAAGAGAGACAAAAAAACGAACCACCCGAAAATATTAATTTTGTGATTTAAATTCTATTTTATCCTTTTTTTTTTATTGGACGTTAATTTGACGTAACCAAAATAAATAATTGAGGATAGTTTCAAAAAATAAATAAAATCAAAAATCAAACAGTTCATAAATTTTGAGTCATTTAATAAGTTTGTCTTCATTTTATTTGATATCGTAGAATAAGGGGGAGGATAATACAGTTTAAAATTGTGAGCCCAGACCTTAATTTCCTCTAGTTGCGAAATGAATCTTGTGATGAACGTCATGTTCAATTAATTATGCAATTAATGAATATCGTTCATAATGGTCGTTGTCAAAAAATCTTAATAATTGGATTTCATGCAACCAATCATTATAAAATAAAAAAACATCTGATGATTCTCAATTAGCACAATATTTTTTCCTTCTTTATGATAAAAACGGTAGGCTCAACGATTTTATTATTAATTAAATCAATCAAATTGTGTTTCAACTCTAAATGTTTAATTTATTGTAATTTTCGCTTTCGACCAGTCCATGAAAAAATTCACACGCGAAATCATACAACATTGATTATAATACAATTAATATCTGTATGATGACTAATTATTATTGTAAGATGATTTCTAATATTTGTACGATGAGAGAAATATTAATCATCCAAACTTAGCATTTGAGCGATAATTGTATTACTATTAACTTTTATCTTTTTATATTTTCATTACTGATACTTATCTATCGCTATGGTAAGAAGGATTAGGTTCTTTGCATGGAATTTAAACGACATAAAAAGAAAATTTCTTGTGATGACCAATGAATAAAAACTATATGCCAAACCTTTAGCAGATATGTATTCATATACACAAATGAAATTGTCTTTATAATTGAAATAAGAAAAAAAAATTTTTTTTTGAAGCTTGGGATATTTAGTAATTTCTGCAATATTGTTTTCTATAGCATAATCTAAATAATGTTTATTTTTAAGTTTATTTATTGAAAAATCATGCCTCACGTCAGTTAATAAATAGATAATTCGATTGGTATTACACAAAAAAATAAATTAATTGGTGTCAAACACGTTCTAGAACATGCGCATGGTACAAAATAAATTATACGAGGACCCATATTTCCATGTCCATTTCCATCAGAAACGATAAATTTTCCAAGATCAGTTTATTGTTAGTTCACGATCATTTTATCATTAATGTAAAGGTGGATTTGAGGAAGGACTTTGCGAGTGACTATGACGGAAATCTGATGATTTTAAGGAACCATCATAACAAAGGTTGAAACCACGGGATGCCATTGAATGGTTTCTCGGTATCAATATCATCTCATGCTATAACACCTGATTTTTTTTTTTTTTTTTTTTGGTATCTCCGATATTTGTCTGTAAACATTTCCAAAGGTTTTGTACACCCGGATGTAATGCCATCTATCAACTACAGCTTTGTTGAGTATTTTGCTTATCACTGCAGGATCACGAGGGTTATAACTTATCCCCGTGGCAAAGACGATTAAACACCATAATTGTGAATCATTATTTTTCGCAAATTTTTTATAACGAATTTAAATTACCGAACAAAAAAAAATAAAGGAAAAGAAAAAGGAAAAAGAAAGAAAAAGAAAAATCATGGAAGTATTATTGAATTCGGAATTTATTATTCTGGATCCGAGAGTTATTATTTTTTGCAGCACCGCAATTCGGACCAATCCGAAATTTTCGGATAAATAAAAAATATTTTAAACAATTTAAGTAACCTCAAGATCTACATTGTATATACAGTAAATTACCAAATTTGATTCACTGGTCTGGAATTTTTATTAGAGGCATTTTGATTTATTGTATTATAAAAAATATTCACAAGGCGACTTGCATGTTCATCTTCAAATATTATATTATGAAAACCGAAGATCGAGATTGACTGGTCTTGCTTTTATTTAAATTTAATATTCGATCATCGGTTTCACTGATCTTTAAATACTGATGAATAAATCAATCTTCTGAGGTAGATCATATTCATAAAAAAGCAAATTAAACACCGCACTGATAAACGTTTTAAGTACAAGTTACATAAATAAAAAAAATTCTTTTTCACGTAAATCATTACTTTAAACTATAATAGTTTCTTTCATGTGGTGTTTCAAATGTTTATAGACTGTAACATTTTAAAGTTTGGATTTAGCTAATTTAATAATTACAATGCTTAATTTAAAAGTAATTATTTTTAGCAATAAGCATGAATTAGATTATTAGAACATTAAATTCAAATGTTATTTATTGTATATCTAATTTTGAAATTTGATAGACGAAATTACTAAAATTTAACAAAGCATTAATTATTAAGTTTTATCCTTCAAAATTTGAAATACTTCATAATCCTCTATTAAGAATTGTTCATCTGTTTCCCTTATACTTTTTTCATATACATCTTTGCTACAATAATTAATATCGAAATCATGATCTTCACCATTAAGATTTGCTATACAAAGATCATGATAAAATGAAGGACCGCAATTCTCATGATACAATATAGCGTTATCTGTATTAATCACATGACTTAAAATTGGACTTTTAAAATCCTTCGACTTAAATGAAAATATGAAACTATCATTTGTTTGAGCACATTCATAACTATTAGATTTCTCCCATATCAAAGGATTATATCCTCCAAGAATCTCTTCTGTTCCTTTTACTTTGATGAATGTAATTGTACGAGGTATATCATTACATAATTCATGAAACTTTTTAGGTGTAAACCCATCCCGACTACCTCTTAATAATAATTTAAATTTGCATGATAAATTCAACTCATTTGAATAATTGATCTTGCTTCGAATATCTACCTTATCAATCCACCCTGAAATTACGGAAACAATTTTTGAATTGACGATTATTGTATCAATCATTCCACCGACACTTCTACGAGTAAGAAGCGAATTATTAATGGTTGACGCACTTTTAGGATCTAAATAAGATCTTAATAATTCTTCATAAAGTTGGGGTTTCAAAAGTTTTTTATATGGATGAACCTTTTGAAAAAATTCTTCAGAGGACATGCTAAAAAATCTAATTAAGGGTAAACAATGTTGTAAAGTGTTTTCCATCTTTTTGAAATCATCATCTGACCAGGTCAAAGGATCAGGATAGAGTTTGGGATTCTTATCAAGTCCCCAATTTAATACATGCTCCCAAATTTCAACTTCTTTCATTTGTAAATCATCCCTTTTAACGAGTGAAATTAAAGTAATTTCAGGAAGTGAAGCAAAATCAAGTGATTTAAATACCGTTTCTGGTGATTTGACCATAAAATCTGTACAAAACTGTTGAAGTACCAACAATGAATTAGATTTAGAGCTCATCCTATAGGTAAGTTCAAAATGTTGTTCAATCCATTCAACTTTATTTTCGATGAAATATTTCTGTAAATATTCAACTAGCTCTTGAAGATGAAGCTCATCAGCAGCCGTCAACACTTTTAAAATATCTGAAGCTTCATGTTCACTTAATAAAATAACCCCACCATAAATGTACCTAAATAAATCATTAAAAATTTTAAATTTAAAGACGAAAATTTTAAGCGCAAAAAAAGGTAAATAACATGGATTTAAAAAACCACGTACTTCAAGATGATTTGAAAGGTTTCTGATGAAATTTTTGGTAAGTTAATATGAGCCAGTACTCCATCACTTTTGGAAGCCAAAGCTCGTCGGAAAAATGGAGAACGGTAACACAAAATGATCCTGTGCGCACGGAATATTTTCACATTTGGATCTTCTCCGACTTCAATTGTAAGATCATAATATTCGTTATCCTCTAACATTTCGATAAAATTTTGGCTTAATTTAGTAAAAAATTGTGCAGTCATTATAAAATTTTTGAAATTTAAATTGAATGAAAATAATTTTATTTTTTACGTTGGTCCGAAATAATGTTCTATTTATATTAGTTTTTACAGCTTATATAACTAAAATTCGATGGACATTGGTTACACAAGAAAATGTCAGAGTCTTCTCGACTTGTCGATTTTCGGAAACTTTCGGTGACAAAATTTCCTATTTCAAGCAATATTTATATTTTTTAATTTAAAACCTGGCCTATAAAAACAAGATGGATGGGTGATAAAAAAAGTTGGATCATGCCTTCGATTAACCTATAGTGAGACAAGGGTAAATTATTTTTATTTCCTTATCAAGAACTTTAAATTTATCTTTGAAAAAATTTTTATTTCAAACTCGTTGATTCTTTTAATGAATTTTTATGTTAATCCGACAGTCCGAAAATTTTCTTGTAAAATAATGATATTTTTTATTTTTTATCGTAACTTTTATTATTGATAGTAAATTCACGGGTTATAAAGATTACTTCATAGTTCACGGTAAGCAATGCATGATGGATATTTTGCCACTTCGTGGCAAAATCCACCAATCAATGCATTGCTCATAGTAACTGTGGAGTTATTGGCGATTACCCGTGAAGTTACAATTATCCGGTTCAGATAATTAAACTTTCGCTGTTGCTAATTACTCCACGGCCAAAGTATAATTATCATATGTGGCCGTGTAATTATTTAATTTCTTACTACTAAGAGATCAGAAATAATATAAATATTACAATCATGAAATTAATACGGTTTATTTTAAGTTATCTATTAATTATTAAAGTTGGTGAAATTAACAATGCTAAAGTTGTTGCGAGAAAAATATATAGATATCCTTGAAGAATAAAGAATTATAGTTAGGAATTATGTGTATGCACTTTTATATTCTCTCGAGCGATTGAAAAAAAATGTTGTGTAAATAATTTTGTTTCAACATCAAAGTTTTTTTTAAAATTATACCTACAATAATTTCATCAAATTTCCATGCGCGCTACTATATAACAACGATTTTGATTTAGAATCCTTTAAAATTATTAATAAAAAGTTTTTTTGTAAGTATGTGAGAACAGAGCATCCACATCCCTTTAAATTATTTTTTTTTTACGTTATATGGAGTTACATCAACTTCAGACTTGCCAAATTACTTTAATTGTACCAATTTATAAATAAGTGTGTGAAGAATATCAAAATTCAATTGAAAATATTAGAAGTAAAATTAAAAATTTTAATCAATAAAGTAGTCAAAAGATGAAACCATATACTAAAATCCTGTCGAAAGTAAAAATCAAACATAAGACTTTTGCCATTTGTTAAGATGAGATTTGCGAAAAAAAAAAAAAAAGAATCTGGGACTATGTTTATTTCTGAAATTCATCAGCTCAGTTCAATTGGGTATGAAAGCCACCAATTTAATTTCTTTCTATCTTGATCTTACAAATAAACTTAATCGATGTTAATAAAATTGAATGAAGGAAGGATTATGGTTTCGAACTCTTTATCCTCTCGCAACAGGAAAGTAAAACACGACTTTAACCATTTTGGTATACATGAAAATATAGGTTAAATAATTTTAGTCATATCAGAAAAATTTTGATGCAAAGTTTTAGTCGATAGACTTAAATTCCGAAGTATTAATATCTAGATCCATTTCTCTGGTTAAATATTCTAAATGTATAAATATACAACTTAGTTATAAAATATAATTAATGTGAACATTACATAATCACATTACCTTCATTAGACTCTTTAATTATATTTTATTATATGTACATATTTTTTGTTATTATTAGTACAAAAAAATATCGAATATATAGATTCCGCTTAATTCTAATATACCGTATAGAAATAAATAATTTGAACAAAAGTAAGTAAAATAAATACCATTATAAGATAATCTACTTTTTTTATTGCTTTTGTTATCATCAATTAATTCATTCGTAATCTTTTTTTTATCTTTTATTTTCCAAAAAAAAATTAAAATAAAATATAATAATTAATAAATTAAAATTAAAAAACTGATCAATGATAAAATATGTACCATTAAAAGATATAATATTTTTTTGATAATTAACAAATGAATCTATAAAAATATAATAAAATTTTCATTAATTTTTTTAATCCAAATAAAATGTAAAATAACAATATTATTATAATCACCTAATGTAACGGATTGGCTTTTTGAGAGTATTGTAGATCTTGACATATTGCTTAATAATCTACTTTTATAAACTGCTCCTGAACGATTCATAGCTATAGGTCCAATATCTGATGATAATACAATTTTTGTTTTATTTCCATTACAAAAATTAGTAAATTCAATTTTTGCCATACTATCAACTTTTTCTTTTAAATAATTAGCTGTTGGCCTTTTATTTGGGTCAGAATTCCAACAGTTTCTCATTAATTCGATATAACCATCAGGTGCATCTGTAACAATTGGAGGACGTATATTGTCACATATTCTAATAATAAGTTCTGTATCATAATCTTGATCCCAAAAAGGCCTTCTACCTGTCATCAACTCCCACATAATCATACCAAGACTATAGATATC